TTGGGCTATGCATACACCTTGCCAAGTCCCTCCCAGCCTGTCTCTTATTTCCATCCCTCACCCTTCTTCGGCTGCATGCCGCTTCAGCATGTGGCTTGCTATCAGCATCAGGAGGGTTTTTAAACTTTTCAAACGTCACCATTTATTTGAATTTTTCGTGTTGGCAAAGCTATGCCTAGTGTTGTAGCCTGAAAGTGGGGCATCGCCCTGCTGTGCATGGACACCATGGCAGCATCCTTCCTCTGAAACGGGCTCCTACTGGAACAAGGTCCACACTTGAGACCAAATTCATGGGTGACTGTGACACTGCTGTTGCATGTAGCTTTGACAAGGATCAGCTATGCACAGCCATTTTCTCTTGCATACCTCACTCAGAGGATCCCTGGCTCATCCCCGGCTCTCCTCCCTCTGACAGCCTCTCTCCGGACAAACCCACCTTCTCCCGGGCACCGCTCAGACCCAGCCCGCTGCCGTGCCACCCCACTGCCCAGGTGGCACATGGTGCTGCCTCGCGCGGGAGGTGCGGGTCTCAGGTGAGCAAAGGCTGGTGGCTGTCGCGTCAGCTCGCCTCCTCCCCGGTGAGTCACTGTGCCCCAGTATCAGCGGGCAGGGCTATTTCTGGTGGCCAGCCTGAAGCAGCACGAGTGCGCCCATGGGACTGTAATGAGCCACTCCCAAGGTCCAGCTGGATTTTTTTGGGTGTTGCTGAGTTTGGCCAGCACGCACCATTTATAAAGGACTTGTTTTCCCTTTGCCCAAATGATTAGCTTTGGATAGTGACAGTTTTAGAAATGGGCCTTGCTGGCCCTTTTGTGTAAGGAAAAGAGAAGAATGCTTGGGCTCCAAATAGTGCTTTGGTGCTCATTTACTAGGAATTTGCAAAGTCCTTCCTCCCTGGGCACAGGATGCAAAGCAAAGCGTAGGAAGCAAAGTCCTTGCCCATGGTGTCTGAGCCTGCCTTGGAAGTAGCTTTTACAGCTCCAAGGGAAGCTGTTTCCAGCCATCCACGCACAGCACCGTGCAGCTCCCTACACCCCAGCCCTTCCCAACCGACCCGTTTAGTCTTCCAGGTCTGCTGCAGGGGTCATACCTCCAGTGTCCCTTCCCCAGCTGCCTCTTTGCTTCTGCCGTTTAGCCAGAAGAGCAACACATCGTTTTCCCCAAGGTCCCAACAAAGGGACTAGCGCTTGGCCAAGGGCCTCCCTCTCCATCCTCACCACCACTGCAGACGGGGAGGGCCTGGCAAACTGCTCTGTACTTCTACTGCAGCTTCTCTCAAACTTCCATTTGGGTTAACAGGGAAGCTCATTTAACCTCTAGGCAAGAAACCCCTTATTTCTACTTCTTCCAATTGCTCCTCCCAGTCTGTTCTGTCCACTGACATTTTTGCAGGATTAGAAAAACAAAAGGCCTGAATTTAGGAGGAGTTAAGAAACCTGCAGAAACCAGGCAGCGAGCAAAACCCTCTGGCTTGCAGGAGGCATGGGAGACAGGAGGGAGGGCAGGGGGTGCAAAGAAGCAGCAGCTACAAGAAAACAGGGAAAAAGGGACTTTGACTTCTCTCTCTCCCCCCATGTTGTTTCAAAGGCATGACCTAAACCCGATCTTCCTTCACGAATAGAGTGGGAAGCTCAGCACATCTTCAAACAATCTCCAAACCCGCTGCAGGCTGCTCACACCAGGAAGCCCTGCAGAGGAGCACGGCGGTGGGCTCAGTCTCAGGGTCCCAGGCTGATCTGAGGACAAGAAACCTGCTAAGCCCAGGAGGAGAAAAGGCATCTCTGGCTCTCTAATTTCACCAGTTACTGAGAGCAGTGGATTTCTCCACACACTTGTATTTTTCTTTACAGTTAGCATGTCTCAGTATTCCCCCAAGAGAAAATGAAACTACACACCAGAAATCAACACAAACAGAGGCAAACCATTTGCAAAATCCCACAGCTCAGTGCAGACCAGCCATCCCCCTGGGGCTTGTGCTGGCAGGGTTTTCCCACCTTCCCTTTTCATTCCCTCCCCCTAATCTCCAGCCTCGATTGCTCCAAGTACACAGCTGCTCAGGCAACCAGATTAGAGAAACAATCTTCCCCCTCCCAGGTTATTTCTAACCCAGTTCATTTCCCTGACCTCATTCCCCAGGCGGTGGCACAAACAGGTGAACCTACACAATGCAGGGATCAACCACTGTGAGATACGCTTGAGGGATGTGATATGCTTGGGATATGATGTATTGCTCCAGAGAGAAATCCCTGCTTAGCTGCAGCCTGAGGCTATTAGTCCTCAGCTATTAGAAAGCTCACAGCGCTGGTAGCAACGCTTGGTGTTCGGTGTATTTGAACAGCTATTTGTTGACTGTGCACCAGTCCTCTGCAGTGATATTTGTCATGAAGCCTCATACTCTTCAGACCTGTGGATGTGCCTATACAGAGATATTGGTTCACTCAGCCAAACCTTATCACCTGTGTCTGGCAATACATAACCTGTAATTACTTTGGATAACCTGGTCACTTATTGCATAGTGTGAAGATATCTAACAGCCATATACCGTACATAAGAACGGATATTAAATAGTGAGCCTGTCCCCATATGCAGATTTCCATGCTAAATCATTTAACTGGGTGGGGGAGAGGAGGATGGCATCAAAGAAAAAAATAAAAGAAGAAAAATCAGTGTAACATTTTTCAAATGATGGTAAAAGCACCCTAGCAGCCTATAATTCCTACATGGATCTCATTGTTGAAGTATCTAGGCACTTGATAAGTATTTGCATAACATCTAGCCACTGTCTGGTGGGGATAAACACCTTAATCTTATAGAAGGGAAACTGGGGAAGAGATTTTAAGCCCACCTCCAGTTACCTGAAAAGCTGCTTCCTACTAATTCTGTGAATGTCATTAAAGATCAAAAGCCATCAGCAAAAGACCAGAAAATTGAACCCAGGTCTCTCACGGCAAAGGTGAGCATCCAAACCATTAGGTCATGTTTTAAGTCAGCTACACTGGAAGTCTGATCCCTGAAAATCCTGATCACTACAGCCAAGATAAATATGAAGAGGGCTCCCCTACACAGCTCTCCTCAAAGCAGCTAGTCATCTAGAGATTTTGCACAAAGTAGTGGAGCAGGTGGGTTATTCCCAGCAGGATTTTTTGCAGCAATTAACATCAGGACAGAAGCGCTCCATGTTGTACACAACCGCTGTGCAACATCCCCGCAGTTGAGAAGGAGTGTTGGGATCTGAGAATGAGGTTTTGTCAGAAACACTCATCATCTATTACCAGAGTCCAAAATCCATCAACAATGACCTTCACCCAACTCCCCAGTAAATGGAACAATGCATGTAGTGTACCTGGGCCACGGTAGGGGAGGTTGGCCCAAATACAGTCACAGCCCCACACTGTTTTCAAAGATGAAAGAACAGAATGACCACATCTCAAGGCACTGAGCTGGATTTATTCATTTGACCATATCAGTATCAAACTAGAAATCATCTGTTTAAGATCATGTGTTAGATAGGAGCAGCATTAAATAATACACATATGAAAAAGAGACTGTGCTTCAGAAAAGATTCAGTGTACAACATACATAGTATGCCATTTTAACACAAATGCTTATAAAGAGTCACCCTAAGCATCAAAGAGAGTTTTATAAAAGTTTACGTTCTCATCCCATGGGATGTACAGAACTATGCAGTTTACATAGTTTTACTATCATCCAAAACATCATGTTTCAAATGTATGAGGCACAGCAAGAACAATATAATTCCATTTCCATAGGAACATAAACACAGCTTGTCACTAATGACACGCTTTCCAAACCATAGCACTCACGGCAATTATACACGTGTACAATTTTAAAGTATTAAAAAGCAAGAGTCTGGAGCCTGTCCACTGTTACCAATAGAGAATAACATTTGCTTTACCGTTGAAAACCACCCAAGATATCCTCGCAGTAGCTGTAACATAGGAAGCACGTAGAGTCACTGCCGTGCTTTGTCAGGGCCAGCTTGCTGTGCTATTCCCAAAGCTAACTGATATAGCCAGTGAAGGATTCCCTACCCCCATGGAGAAGGGGGAACAGTGCCCTGTGCTTAGCTCTGACAGCCCAGGGAAGATGCAAAGTTAAAACACATCCGCAACCAAGTGATGCTTTGGCTCCAGAGATAGCTGATAGAAATTAGCTCAGCTTAAGGGAGGCGCTGATTTCCATTAAGAACGACCAGAGACTGCCAAGTCTCAAAGACAGAACAAGATTGAACCAGTCTTTGACTGGTTAAATCAAGGACTTTTTTTTTGGAAGGTTTTCTCTAAGGACAGCTCAGATATAGACTGAATCTTACAGCCCACATGCTCAATTTTTTTTTTTTTTTTTGATGGCAGTATTTGCAAGCATATATTACAAGTTTTATAAAAGTGCAAGGCCCAGCACAGGAAGATATCCTGGATTAAGACATTCCCAGAAGTGTTCTTTTTGCCGTCTTCTTCTTGGTCAACCAGCAGACGCACAAATATCGTTGCTTGGGATCAGCTTATCAGAGCCCTTAAGGGTTTAGCTTAATCATCTGTGCAATTAAACACTATTCACATTTTACAGCCTACAATGGCAATATTTTTATGTACAAATTTGAAAATCAAGTCTTAAAATCAAGTTTTAAGAGGTAGAGGTCCATTTCTGACCTGCCGACATACAACATTACTGAGTCAGTCGTATTCTAAGGCTGGTGGTCCCCTAACAATATTGAAGTAACCAGCTAGAGCTCCAAGATCTATGTAGAGTGATCTTTGCCTCTTTAGCAGGTCCGACTCTTCCATGCTCCCAGTACACAATGAGGAATCTAAAAAGGAAAGAGACAAAGCATGTCCTTATTGCACAAATAGCTACATCAGTTCAGTTCCATGGCTGCAGACATTATGGGAATAATTGGCCTAATATTTGCTTTTATTTATCTGTGGTTTAGAAAGCTTCATTTTTAAGGACAATATAACATAAACCTCATATAAAACATAAATAAAAGATACGAAAATCAACCCACAACTCTAGGGCAAAGAAAGGTAAGCAGTTTGCTACTGAAAACAAGAAGTGTGTTCAACTATTTCAAAAAAACCTCCATCAGCTGGGACAACTAAGCAGAGCTTCCTCACCCTCTGAGCCATACTGCTAAAGGAGAGTTTGGTGCAAGAAAAAAACTCTGCTAGCTCTCTGCCAGTTGAGAATTCCCCTTCATTACAGGGGAATTTTCATCTAAACAGATGACATCCTCTTTGTATCGCTGGGAGTGACAATACAGAACAAATATGGGACCATCAGTCTCAATTTTTTTTTTTTTCTTTTAAATCAAGGTCTGAAGAAACCTTTGCAATGGCAGAATTCCCCTGAATACTTGTGTAATGAGTGTCCTGGAATCTCAAGCACCTAAACTAAAGTTCCAGTTTAATGGTCAAATATTTTTTCATCTTCAAACAAATTGATTCAGATGGCCTGAGCTGGTCAAAGAATTATGCACCCACAAGAAGCAATGCCATTCTAGATGCAAAGGCTATGATTGATTTAAATGTTAAGTGGATTCCTTGCAACAATTATGCATTACATCACCCAAAACTTTGCATAGATATCTTTTCAAATTCTTATCACAATCAAATAAACCACTTGTCTGGGGTCAGTTTTTAAATGCTTTTTGTCAGGACCCTCCAAGCATATTTTAGAAGAAAAGCATTTTGAAGCCTGTTAGCAGGTTGCTGGCACTAAATCTCCCTTGGTCTTGGTATTATCTGAGGACACACTGAGTTTTCTAACTAGTTCATGTATGATTCTTCATAAAGCACTTATTAATGCACAAGGGAACTGTGTTCTATCCTACAGTAATTTTTGTTTTTAAAACAAAGGGCTTGTACTGCTGACACTCAGCAACATTACAGTTATGGTTTTGTGTATGTCTTCAAGGAAGCAAAAAGTGTTGGTTTTGGTGGTGGTTGTTGGGACTTCTTTTTTTTTGTTAACAAACGAATCACTAGTATCAATAAAACATCTCCACTACTGTAGCAAATTAAGGCAATTTGGGACAGCAGCCTATACTTCGTGAAGAAGTGCCCTGAATGACTGCCAGGGCCTTTTCATGAGCCAGCCCTTCCGGAGCTGCAGAATTCAGGCTAAGTTCTTCCCCTGTTGAAGTCAATGGGCGTTTTACATAACACTTAATGAGCTCTGGGTCTGATCTCATCTGATTGGGATTTTTACTGGTCTCTTTCCAGAAGCTTTTTGAGTTTCGTTTGTTTCTAAACACTTGCTCACAACAAGTTTTGACACAAAGTAAAATCTACAAAGTGCAAGGTAAGTAAGCCTGATATCGTTACCCGTAATGTTTTCTGGCAACTGCAGCTCCTTCCTTGCGAGTAGTCTTTTCCTCTCAAACAATGCCGAGTCCAGGCTCTGACACCGTGGTTGCTCTTCTGGGGGTGGGTGTAAGGCTTCGTGTTTCAGTAAGTCTGCTGCAGACAGCCTATGATTAGGATTCCTTTCTAGAGCTGCTTCTAGCAACTCTCTCATGGAAGTGCTGCAGTCTTCAGCGATGTCCTCTAAGGGGGGAGCTTGCTTGTGTATCTGTTGGAATAAAAAAAGACCACTGAAACAGTTATTCCAAAAACAATGGAAGAGGAAGTCACAGATAACCACATGAGTGGTCTGGGAATTCCCCACTTACAACTCATCATCTCCCTGAGCTGCGCTGATCAATTAGAACAGAACACGTAACTGCACAAAATCCACCTTTTTTTTAAATCAGATTTTATGATAAATTTAAAAACTCAAAGCAACTCCAAGCAAGCCTAAAATCCAGTGCAATGCAAATTCACCAGATTTCTGTACCACACTGAAGAGAATCAAATTTGCCAGGCTCCAGTTTTTATCTGCAACTTCTAAGCAAAACAGACAAGTGGAACATAGATGGGCTTGTTTCAGTCAAATTTCACACTGTTCTAACCCTGTCCTTGCAGTAAACCCAAGGCCTGTAATACAAACCAGAGAGATGACTCCAGCTCAGCCTCTGTCTTCCCCTAAATGATCAAAACCCACTTCTTCCCTCCCTCCCCTGAAGTAAAAAGGATGATATAATCTCTCTGACAAATATTTTGATAGTTTTTATATGACTGGAGCTTTCCCAACAAGAGCACAGGAAACCCTTCAACTGAAACTAAGCTATAGCTTTGCTAAGGACACTTACAATATAGAGGTAGGATGGATATGCAGAACGAGGATATCTGTTCACCCAGGGCGGGATGCCAGTTTGCATATGAATAATAGTAGCTCCCATGCTGTAGATGTCTGCTTTTGTTGTGTGGCCTCTGCAGAGGATAACTTCAGGGCTCATGTAAATCTGTCAAGAATAGTCAAAGATTAATCAATAGGGGAAAACAACAAGCAAAGACGAATCGTGACATTTTGTGATCCAGGAAACCCCCCTCTGAAGGGATGCATCCCACTAGTACCTGCAGCTTAAAGACCAAGCACCATCTGGGGAATAAGATTTTTCTGCTCTGCACATTGCCACAATCACAGAGATTTTCTGGTCTGGCACCTGAACAAACTCATATTCCATGTTTGCCACAGCTCAGTGGCTATGGGTCTTAGCTGAGCTGTGAGAGGCTGAGGTTCAAGCCATGGCTCTGCTTTGTTCATCTGGGTAGCAGGAACCTCATTCTTCCACAGCAAAAGGAGGTGCCTGAATTGCCATTTTGTTTTGTGGGGCACTGCTGGGACTGCTCCATTCTGCTTGAACAACATGGGCATGCACTAGGCTAAAGAGAGAGGGTGACCCTGCTGCTAGCCACCCAGCTGGGGGTAGGAGTCCACTCCTCCAACCCCTGTTACACTGGATACTACACAACTCTTCTGGACAGAACTGACAGATATACACCTTCCTTTCTTCCTTACTCTTCTCCTCTCCCTGGCTTATCCAATAACCTGCATGTTGCGGCATTATCCTAAGAAATGGGATGGTGAGGAACAAGCCAGGTCTAAGGCAAGGCATAAACTAAAAGCCAGGTCTCTTAAGTCCTGCTGCGTGCCCTTTCCACCAGGCTACCCCAGAGCAGCTATTAAGGCAAGCATCCCTCTTCCATCCTTTTTTTAAACCAAAAATTCTAATCTCCTCTAAACCAAAATACAGTTTCAATCCAAACGTTTCACTGAAACGTTTGGATTTGTCAAGACTCTGAAGAAGGATCCGGTTGGAAGCTCCTGCCAGCTCCAGGCAGCTCGGAGCGCAGCTGGAGGAGAACCAGACGGGCAGGATGCGGGAGGCACACCCCGCGGCTGGCAGGAGCTGCCCGCACAGCTCTGCACCGCCACTGGCCGAGGGAGTAGGTTTCAACACAACGTGGGCACAGCCCACAACACACTAGGTTAGCAAGCCGCCCTATTTGCTTCTAGTTTCTACTTTTCCTTCACCCAACTTCCCTCTAAAGGAGCCAAACAGAACTTTAATTAGTTCAAGTCAGCCTGCCACAAAGAATTACATTAAAAGCCATTAACTGACACAAGAGCAGGAAGTTAAGTCATCACCGCATGGTTTGACTACTTATTACCACAGATTGAGAACAGCTGTAGGGCTCACGCAAATTCCAAGGAATATTTCCCAGTAAATCACATACCGTATCTGCAAACAGAACTTCAGACCAGAAGCATGTGCAAAGGTTCAGCA